GGTACCCGAGCGCCTAGACTCGCCTAGTCGCCTTAACAACTATGATCCCTAGGCAAGCCTTGGGAAGGGTTAGGTGGAGCTGGGATTTTTAGAACAGTCTGGGATGTATTCTAGAGTCAACATTGGGTTTCCATTTTAACATCAGATTCCACTTTCGGCTTTAACCTACAGAGATTGGTGATTCTTTTTTAAACAGTCTGCAGTAATATGGTTGACTTATTATATTTGACAAGTTTCTCAATATTAGACATTTCTTCTAGATGTGAACATTATCCAATGCTTCCTCTTTACCACTGTGGCACTGTCTGCTTTATTCAGAGTATCATGTTATATTTGATGAGTGTTTTAAGTCTTAACTGTATTATTAAACTTCTGGACTTTTCATCAGTTGGATCCTCCGACACCTGCAAGAACTGGCTCTGGACCTTCACGTAAGGTTTGTAACTTCGGTTCTGAACCTGGATGTTTCAACTCCTCTTTAATGTACAACTTTCTACTTTTGGTAAGGTAAAACTGCCATAAAGTGCTTTAGAAGAGCTCCTTGAAGTTGGTGTAATGTTATAAATTTGTTTTTTATAAACTTTTTCATGTTCTAAATGATGTTGAATGAATGTTTATCTTACCCTCAGATGTTACTGACTCCCAAGGATTTAAGTTTCGTGGGGTATACATACAAAAACTTTGATGCGGTGAAGGCACTACTGAACTCTTCCGGTGAGTTAATCATTACCCTGTTGGAAGGCTTTGCGGCTGTGCTTACATTTTTCATATGAAACAATGCAACAAATGTGTTGGTCATTATTTTTTCCAGAATGTTGCAATGCAACTTTCTTATCCCACAAAATGACTCCCAAAAAATTAAAAACAAATTGAGATTTTTCTGCAATGGTTCTATAGCAGGTGATACTCACATGGGTCTCAAGACTGTAGGACCACACTCCCACACACATTCTTGAGAAAGAGGGTCTAACATTCCATAGGCTCATGTGGCCTATCCGCCCATGCAGTGTCAATGAAACCTTTTCAAAGAGTCAAGACAACAAATCTTGAAATATATTTTCCCACTTTTGTTCCCACGGATATGAAGATGCACCTACTTTTGGTCTCCAGCTATAGTTTATGCACTTTTGGTACACGACTCCACTTGGGTTAGATTTCTTTCCACTTTCGGTGCACTTAGGGTTTAGGGTTCACAAGATAATTGACCAGAAAGGATCAAAGGTTGCAAGAAATTCATACTCGGGGTCCAAAAGATAAAAAATGAGACCAGAACAGGGAAAATCCTAATAGTAACGGGACAAAATCGGGAAAAGTTTCACCACAAAACCTATAAGTTGTGAGCACCTAATCAGAGAAATGAATCGTGAACGACCTAATAGTATCGTGTGGACCAACAAAAGTGAAAAAATTTTCATCATGAAACTCGTAAGTTGCAAAATCTAGACTCATTGCTTTATCTATCTCCAGGCAATTCTAAAGAGAATCCAGGAACGAACAAACCAGAAGCAGGGGAAACAGACATACACATGATTACATCAACATGTGAAGCAATGTTACCGTAACAAAGGCTGACCAGTTCTTCAAAACCTACAAACGGGACGTAGCATGCATCTGCATATTTGATCAGGTCTGCTCGTCCCTGCTCCATCATCTACGCTTGTTCCTAAATTTACTGAACCGCCCTCCGTGTAATTGTACAGTGTGCTTGAAAAACAATGTAATAGCTGGATTCAATATAACTTTCAAGGAGGGCATGAAATCCACTATTACTACCACTACTAGTAGTGGTAGTAGTAGTTAGAAAGAAGGGTTTGTGCATTAGAAGCATAGAATAGGGGGTGTCATTTGCGTCCCGGCTGCCCAGGTTGGCAATTATTGAAACTTTGCTTTCTCTTGTGGCAGTTTATCGTTGGATCATTTGATATACATAAACTGGTAATATATATATATATATATATATATATATATATATATATATATATACTGCCAGGCTAGGTAGAGGGTCTATACTCATTTTATGTGTAAACCAATCTCAACTGGTGGCTATTTAAAAGCTTTAGTAATTGCAGGGTTCTTGATGTTGTCATGTTTTTATGTGCATACTTGATTGTTGAAGCATATACTCCCCTCGTCCCCTTCTCATTTGCTATTTCACGAAGTTTTAAAACATGAAATTGTGTGGTTGATACTTCCTCCATCCCATTGTGTTTGTCTAGTTTGATTTTTTCGAGTCAAACTGGACGAACTATAATCGTCAAAAACTCTCAATTTGTATTATATATTAATACAATGGATTCAAATTTTGAAGGTGCCAACAAGATATAACTAATGAAATCATTTATATACTAGCATACATTACAATTTTTATTTAATTGCTGTCCAACGTTCGCTCAGTTTGACTCGAAAAAGTCAAATTAGACGAATACAACGGGAATGAGGTAGTATTTGTTACACACTATTGAGAATTTATTTTCAGACATCCTAAAAAAAGTAATTGGGGACAAGTGTTACTTGCATTGTTTCTTCCCTTCTCCCTTTTAGCAAAGTGAAGTTCCCCTTTTATAGTTAGGTTTACACCACCCTATAGAAAAGCTCCGGTTGCCATTTTCATTGTCAGAAAGTCCATTCTTTTGGTTGCCAATAGCATTTTTCTTGAAATTTATCATATATTTTTTCTCTCATGCCTCATTGAGCCAGGATTTTTTTATCCAATCTTATAAGATTTCTAAGCTAAACTGTTTTTATTGCAGTTTATTTGAGAATTTATTAAAGATGCTTGTATAATAAAACACTCAAATTATTTTTTAGGGTTGACATATTACAAATTTTTATGTTTGAAGTTTATTGAAACTCCGTAGAAAACATTGTAGAGTTCATACTGCCTGTCTCTATTTTGCATAAATTTAAATCACATTGTCCTCATTTTTTAAATCTGTCCAGTCAAAGCAGTGACAATAAAAATATACATTGGGAAGGAGCAGAGAGAGTATGTATATTTTTTAAGACATGAGGTGTTTTATTATTTCTACAAATCGTTTGTGATTGGAAAACTTTAATTCAAATTTTTACCGAACGCCGTTTGAAAAAATAAGGTAAATCGTAATAGAACTAAGTTGATGGTATGTTTGAGAATTTGAATTTGGATTTCAAGTCTAGATTTGATTCAAATTACTTGTTTGGGAACTCTCAATAAAAGTTAAGTCAATTACAAATCCGCACTTCTTTGCATGTCCATTACAAATTAAAGCTCAATTTTTCTTTAATTTATAACTTATAATTAAAAAGTAATTTCTGCTTATGTAATAATAATTTCATACATATCAACTCACTTCCGTTACCGTCTTTACAAACTTCAAAAATTCATATTTAAGAATTGAAAACCACCTATATTTTTCATCGTTTATGTTTGACACTTATTTGAGCACCTTTTGAAGGAGGGATGGATCCGAGGGAGGCTAGCTTTGGTGGTTCAAATGGGAAATGGTTTTCCAACTCAACACAAACCACTAATAGTGAAAGTGCAAATGAGTTTGTCTTGTCAATTGTCACAATATCATTTGTCTGTTGCTCATCTCATGTCACTCTCATCCAACGTCAATGCACAGAGTATACCTTTTGTCAAACCAATCTTTGCCGTTCATATGTGTTCAAGTAAGAAAGTAAACCCTATAAGGTTTACACATAGTACTTATTTTTTGATACATTGGGTTTTCCAACTCGCATATGAATATCATAAATTCAAAAATAACAAAATTTAATACCCTATATAATTTAACCGATTTCCTTACCCTACTCTTAATTAATACGGAATATTTTTCTCTAAAAGAAAAATAAAATATTAGTCAATATTAATGGATAGATTCAAACTTAACTTGTACTTTCCGTTTCAAAATTTTACTTGTTTGACTTTTAAAAAATAAAATTAAAAAATACGGAGTATATAGGGCCTGTTTGGGAATATCTTTAGAGATTAGTATTAGCATTTTAAAAAGGTTATCTACGGCCAGCGTTCAACGTTAGTGTTTTCAAAATAATCTGCACCATTAGAATTTTATCCAAAACGCCAACGTTAATCTCTAACGCTATTCCCAAACGAGCCCATAATTAAACTTTGTTTAGACAAAAAAATCTTATAACTTACATATCCATTCCTCCCTTCGTTCCATTTAAATTGCATGTTTACTATTCACATGGAAAATAAGTTCAGTCAAGAATTTTAAACCAAGCAATATAAATTGGGACGGGGAGAGTAAAAAAAAGTAAAATAAACATAAACTATTTTTTGGGATGCGTAAAAGTTTTGGTACTTCTTCCGTCCCAAAAAAAGTTATACATTTTCTTTTTTCATATATCCCAAAAAGACTCTACTTTCTATAGTAGACAATTTTTTTTGTGGCTTATATTATTTCTTTATCATTTGTACCAATTTCAACATACAATTTTACTTTTATTAATTTTTGTATTTGGTCAATTATGGAACATTATTATGGAACAGAGAGAGTACTAATACTCCCTACATAGTACATCCCAATATAATTTTCTCATTTGGAAGAACATGTGAAATCCTCTTATCTTTTAAAGTACTTTTATTTACAAATTGGTACAAAAAAAATATAAATTACATCGTTCAAAATTATATCAAAAGTTCTATAAAACAAAATTGTCAAGAATATTTTAATTTATTAAATAGTCAATTAAAACATGCATACAAACATTATTATCTTGAGACTATAATAGTAGCTAAAAAATTAATTGGAGACAAAGTGTTTTTTTTTTCGGGGAGAGGAATTATTTGTTAAGTGGGGGAGCATTTAAAGAAAAAAAGTAAACACCCACGGTTCTGGACTTCTGGTATTGTGATGACGATTGACGACTGAACTGTATAAGCACCCACAATTCTTCGTATTCTCTTCATTACAGGATGCATATATTTCTCTACGAATCTGAGCTTGTGATCGATTTTCTCCCATTCTTGCAAATCTTGAAACATCCAAAGTTTAGGTACTGTCGCTTTCAACCCTTCTTCTTGCATTCCATCTCATTTTTTTTTTACAATTATACTCAAGTTTTTATTTTTAATCTCTTTGGGGGGCAATCAATTGGCGAAAGGGTGTTTGTAAAGAATGATTTTTTTGGGGGAATATAAAAAAGAAAAAGAAAAAGAAAAAGAAAAGATACTCTTCCGTACGGATTTCAAGAAAAGGGTAGAAATGGGTTGCCCTCTGATCCAGGGCAAGGGGGCAGGAAACTTTTATGTGAAGAAGAAGAAAAGGGTTACTTTCCTTTCTTCTTTTTTTCCCCTGTCAAAGTATTCTTGTGATTCTTTGGACTTGGCTCTGCCTTTCCGAGGTTCTTTCACATGCCCATATCTTCTTTTTCTTTTCTTTTCTTTTTTCCATTGCCTTCTTTTTTGTGTGCATAATTTTTGAATTTATGTTCTCTGTGTGGATTTAAGGATCTTCTGGGCTGTGTTTCCTTCTAAGTGTATGATTTGGTTGTGGATGAAGAAGGGTACATATAATTTATTCATTATTTTAATTTGTAGGTTTTTTTCCCACAATTTTTTGTTTATGTTATCCATTTTTGGCTGTTTTACCAGATCTGATTTGTGATTCCTGTTATGAGAACTGGGGGATTTTATGATTCATAGTTAGATCTCTGATCTTCATAATATGGAGAATGGTGGTTGGATGGCATTGATTTTTGCTTCAGAATTGTTCTTGGCATTCAAGGAAGAAGGAGACAAGTTAGCTTAACAATGACTGGTGATAGTGATTTCGATGGAGGAGATGTATCCGGCGGTTGTGGTTCCATTTAGTTTGGGTAGCTTTGTTTGTGATAGCCAAATCCATATGGATGTCACGAATCTAAACGCGATTAGTGATTCTAAAAGCGATCATAGTGTTGTGGTTTCAAGCATTGCCCGGGAAAGCGAAGACGATGATCTGAATCTTGACACCTCATCATGCTCCTTGTCCATCGCGAGTGATACTAGTAGTGCGTGCAATGATGATTTGTTGGCTGAGTTGGCGCGTGCTGATGGGTCCCACTCAAAACCGCCCGTTTTGGATAAGGGATCAAGTGGTGGGACTGTGACCCGGAGTGTGTTTGAAGTGGATTATGTCCCGCTTTGGGGGTACGTATCCGTATGTGGAAGGAGGGCAGAAATGGAAGATGCGGTTTCAACCGTGCCAAGGTTCTTTAAGGTTCCACTGGAGATGCTAATCGGAAATCGTATGGTGGATGGGATGAGAGGGCATTTAAGTCATTTGACCGCTCATTTCTTCGGAGTCTATGATGGTCATGGTGGCTCTCAGGTTGATCTCTTTCCTTCTAGCATTTTTTGTCCCAAAGTTAACGGACTAAAAATAGCCATTAATTAATTGCTGTTTTAGTCCTCAGTTTTTTTCCCAAGATATTGATTACCACATATCATTTTTCAGGTTGCAAATTACTGTCGTGATCGAATTCACACCGCATTGGCCGAAGAGCTGAGTATTGAACTGAGTAACAAAAATACCGAAAATGCCCAAGCATTATGGAGGAGGGCATTTGGAAATTGTTTCGTGAAGGTTGATGCCGAGGTTGGAGGGCAGGGGAATGTCAAACCGGTTGCCCCAGAGACTGTGGGGTCCACTGCGGTCGTTGCCCTCGTTTGTTCATCTCATATTATCGTGGCAAACTGTGGCGATTCAAGAGCGGTTCTCTGTCGCGGGAAAGAACCTATGGCATTATCTGTGGATCACAAAGTAACACCATTTTATTTCGACTTTAACTTTCCGTTATGGTTTTCAAGATGCATTAAGAAATGAATGAATGTAGACATACCCTATGTCTACATTCATTCATTTTCGAATGTATCATGAAAGTCTTAAAAGACAGTTAATATGGAATGGAGGGAGTAGTCTTCGATGAATTTTGTTTCTTCCATTTATGTTTGTATATATATATATATATATTATACATAGCCAAACAGAGAGGATGAATATCAAAGGATTGAAGCAGCTGGGGGCAAAGTGATACAGTGGAACGGACATCGTGTGTTTGGTGTTCTTGCAATGTCAAGGTCCATAGGTATGTATGTATGTATGTATTTACTACAACTTGCATTTTACCAAAAAGCCCGTAAGGTTTCTGAAAATTACGAAATAAACCCTGTTGGTCAGTCATACTTTCCACAAACGATTCAGTTCCAAGACAAGCATTAGGAGTGCAATATAGAAGTATGAAAGAGCTTTAATTTATTCCTGCAAATACCATTATGCTCCGTATCATATACATGTCACCTTTCGGAGTCGTTTGTGGGAAGTCCGACCGATCAAGGGTTTATTTGCAATTTTCATGAACGTCGAGGGCTGTTTGCAATTTGACCAAACATTTGGGGGGCTAAATTGCAATTTTGGTCATGCAAGCAGACATACTTGGCAGAATTGGTCTCAAAGTTCACGTGTCGCCCGTTTGTGCATAAACACAACAATTGATTTGTTTGACTTATGCTTGGGAGGGTGGTGACTCGTGAGATTTTCGAAAACAATTAAAGTTTCTCTAAACAAAGGACCAAAATTGCCAAAAAAAAAAAAAGGTGAAAGGGATCAACTCTCATGACCAAAATTTTCAACTTAGCCCATCAAGGGGAGGTAAATGCACCTTCAAACTCATGGAACTCTTGATTTGGATTAGGTATTAAAAGTGACAAAATCAAAAAACCAAAATATAAAAAAAAAATGGCAGGAGACAGGTATTTGAAACCTTGGATCATCCCGGACCCCGAAGTGTCCTTCATTCCAAGAACCAAGGAGGACGACTGTCTCATTCTGGCGAGCGACGGTTTGTGGGACGTGATGACAAACGGAGAAGTCTGCGATTTGGCGCGCAAACGCATACTCCAATGGCACAAGAAGAACTGCGAAAGCAACGGCGGGACCCACCTCCCCGGGAGGGGCGTAGGAGTGGACCCCGCGTCCCAGGCTGCAGCAGAGTACCTATCCACCCGCGCCCTACAGAAGGGTAGCAAGGACAACATAACCGTGATCGTGGTGGATTTGAAAGCTCATAGAAGGTTTAAGAACAAAAGCTAACGCTCGTCAGCGTTGTGACATTGTCATTCCTGTAGGGTACGTATCCTCGTTTAGGGCCATGCTAAGGGCACCCCGGCCTTCTCAAAGGGCACCCGTTGCTGTTGTTCAATGTGTGTAGGTGTCTTTGGGCAGAGCGGGGTGGCTTTAGCATTTTCCTTATATTTAACTTATTATTAAGCTGCACCGGGCAATTTCGGGAGAAATTACGTACAAAATATTCGATTGGTTGTAACCATTATTCAGCAACAATTTATGGATTGAAAAAAAAATTGTAGATATGTCACCTTTATTCATGTTTATGTCTGTAAACTTCACAATTTGTGTTATTACTGCACCAATTGTACATTGTAATATGTTTTCACCCCGGGTAGTGGGTCATCCGACATGTTTGATTGATCTGAGTCATTTGATGAGTGGGTCCCGAACCTCGAGTAGTGGGCTCTGCGCTGATATGGCCACCATCGAGCTTCGGGAACCATATTGGCCAAAAATTCCCCTTGGGAAACCAGACAAGTTTTATGAAGCCTTTAAGATGGGTAAATTCTTATGTGTCATTCATAAACATTTACTTAATATTAAGATGATGACTTAATTCCTTCAAAAAAGATGATTATTTAACTGATTGATTTATTTATTTTATGTGTGAAGGTTCACGTGTATGAATCTTGATTGTTTTATTTGTTTCAAGTAAAAAGTTGCAATTTTGCAATCAATTGAATGAATTATGAATTTTGCCAAAATGTAACAATTTATTAAATCTTAAACGGATGTGATTATGCTCAATCTAAAGTACTAAATCCAGCTTATCCATAAAAAAAATTGTTATATTCATTCTTAACTGACAATTTTCAAAATTATTCAAGTGATGGTTGATTTAATAAATTTGAGTTGAGAATCACACCCATAAAAAATATCTATATTCGTCTAAAAAACTTGTGTTTCTCCTGTGCATGTTTAGTAACAATTCTACTATTTTGAAAAAAAGACTATCAAATGATAGCGTTTCGTTTTATTGTTTTCAAAATTAATTTGTAGCATTAATTATTTACGAGGCTAATGTTAATTGAAATGACAAATTCGTAAACATGCTTCTAATAATAACTCAAAAACAATAATACTAATTCAAGAAACAAATATTAATAATGGAAAAATAAGTACTGAGTAGTACAAGTAATATTAATACAATAATATTAGTATTATCACTATTACTGAATTGAACAAATTGTTAGATTGTACGGAGTATTCTCTCGTCCCACAATGGATGTCGTTATTAGTATTACGGCTCTTGACACTTTTGTTTGTGTGCATATTTTCATTTATCGTTTGATACAATAAAATATCTTTATCATCTATTTCTTTGAACTTTTAATGTATTTTTAAACGATATAATTTACAATTTCATATTTCTATATTAATTTTTAATTAAAATAATTTTTAAAATGATACCCCCTCCGTCCCAAATTATAATGCGTGATGGGTGTATTTCACCCATGACCGGTCAAAGGTCCGAACCAGAAAATTGACCGGTCAAAGAAGTCAAGCTCGAAAGGAAGTGATGAGTCGTCAGAGGGTTGACCCAAAACTTTGACCGGTGTACTTCGGATAGTATACCGGTCAAACTCGCCTATGGTCTAAATCCATCCTTCGAAGTTGGCCAAACCAACCTACAAAAACCAACCGGTGCAGTTTTTAGAGATTGGGAAGTGTCGGCAGGAGGAATCCAAAAGGACTTGGACTGTAGTGGTTGGAATTGCATAGATGCTGGAGGAATATTTCCAAACCAGAACGCGACAAAGGCGCAGCCCCCCACGCAAGAGGACAAGGCAGCCCAGAAGCAGTCACCTCCCACCTGCGGCAGCGTGATCCCACGTGGGAGCACTTGGTCCTGCCCCCCCCCCCCCCCCC